ACAAGATTAGCCTCTTTATAGTAAGGATTATCATTATAATGGTGACACAGCACACTTGCACTTGCAGCGGCGAGTGCGGGAGCTTTCGGCGTTAGTTTTTATGAAGGAAAGTTGATATACAGTAACACAACAGTGGAACTGTAATTGAGAGGTACGGTAATATTTGTGAACATGTGCGTTTATATTATTTTCAGTTTTTACGGACTCTGTCGCAAGTGCCTGTGTGTGTGACAGTGAACAGTGACGATTCAGATTGACGGTCAACGATAAACGACGTCAATACACTACTGATACTGATAGTGTCAGTGATAGTCATACTGTATAAAAAGTGTATTATACAGAACACAGTCTGCCACCTAGCTTCAATAAACGGTCTTTCATCGAAAGACTTTCATAATCTTGCTCTAGAAAAACTTATAGTTGCTGTTGTTCACACGGTAATGGTTTGGCTCGAGCTAAATGGGCTAAATTTGGCTCTGGCCGGTTTGAGTCGGAGCGTTCACTAGTGATGTCACGATCATCGATTATACTCGATCATCGGTTGAACAGTGGCTCGAACCAAGCGCTTAGTGATGTCACGATCATCGATTATACTCGATCATCGGTTGAACAGTGGCTCGAACCAAACGCTTGGTTATCAAAATCCATAATCGATTTCATCGAAAAAAAAGAAGAAAAAAAAATAGAAATAAATGTAAAACTTGAACAAGAAAACTTGGAAAAGTGATGAGAATCAGAGATATCATCGCTACTATACAAGTTATCCTTAATTAACATACATGTATTATACACACAGTAGTAAACAGTGCAAAACAAACAGTAAACAGGGCTAAACAAGCACATACATGCACACGCAGGCATTCAACACCCCGAGTAACGGATTGTAAACCGATCATCGGTTACTTGGGTCCAACCGATGATCGATTACGAAATTACAACTGATTGACAACACTAGCGTTCACACGTACGCAAGTGAATACTGTCTGTCAAATTCAAATTCAAATTCAAATAAATTTTATTGCACAAATATCTCACAGATACTTTGGCAGTATGTTGCGAGATGGCGTTGTGTACGATTCAGTGTTTACTTCCATTCCGAGTTCAATTATCAATCTTGAAAACATGCATCCTGATCAGGCTTCTCCCTACGTTGCGCACGCACGCACGCACGCACGTATACCAGGCTTCTCCCTACGTTGCGCAAACCGGGCGCGCCCGCCCTGTTTGGGAAAACTCGCCCCCCCCCCATTTTAATTGTTGCGCCACGTTTAAATTATTTCCAGTTGTTATAGTAGTTATAGTTGTTATAGTAGCTATAGTTGTTATAGTAGTTATAGTTGTTATAGTAGTTATAGTTGTTATAGTTGTTATAGTAGTTATATATA